CCGCGGGCGCCCCAGGGACGTGTGCGCGGGTCCGGAGGCCCCGGCGTGACCTCGGACGAACCACTTCCCTCGCTGCGCCCCTCGCAAAACCCACGGCGACGGCCGCAGGACTAACCATGGCCGGCCTTCTCTGGGCCACCTGCAGGCCCCGTGCTTACAAGTTGCAGGGTTTAACTCAGTTAACCCTCTTCACCCGGGAGATAGGGAGGAGAATTATACCCATGCCACAGAGAAGGACACTGAGGTCCACCACATTAATCAGCTTGTCCAAGGTCACAGGGAGAGCAGGTCAAGGGGCCGGCTAAGGGCAGCTGGACTTCCGGCCCCACCATGAGCCCTGTCTCTGTGGCTTTAGGCCAGGAGTAAGCCAGCCTCTTCCCACCAGCGGTGTCAGAGGTAATCAGACCAGTTCAGATCCCAGCTCTGCCCCTCATCAGCCAGGGGCGAAAGGACAGACCGAAAGCGAGAAGCCGTTTTTTTGTTTTTTGTTTTTGGTTTTTTGAGTTGGAGTCTCACTCTGTCGCCAGACTGGAGTGCAGTGGCAGCTCCCGGCCACCGCAGCCTCGCCTGCTGGGCTCTGGCGATCCTTCCACCTCAGCCTTCCGAGGAGCCGGAATTACAGGCGCACGCCACCACGCCCAGCTGATTTTTTGATTTATTGTAGAGGTGAGGTCTCACTGCCCAGGCGGGTCCCGAACCCGCGGGCTCACACAACCCACTCACCTCAGCCTCCCAAAGAGAAGCCGTTTTTAAAATCTTGTTCTTAAACCCTGATCCAATGATGAGAAAGTAGAAGCTATGGGAAATAGCTCAACCTCTCAGCCCGTCTTCATTCCCCCATGGACCCAGCATGGCACGTGGAAGAATTTCAATAAATATTTGCTAAATGAATGAGTAAATGCCCAACCACCTGGCTATGTGGCTGTGTTTTGATAGCTCTACTTAGTGGGATATTAGACAGTAATCTAGACTAATACATAATATTATAACAATCACATATGGTATTTGAGAGCAGGTTGCTGAACTGCATGCAGACAGGAGTCCAGCTGTGAGTCAGTTAGAGGGAAGGGGGCTGCGGTGGCATGAACAGGCCACTGTTCTAACTGCACTTTCCCCCTAATTGTCTCTGGTTTTCTTTTTTTTTTTTTTTTT